AGAGAGAGAGAGAGAGAGACAGAGAGAGAGAGAGAGAGACAGAGAGAGAGAGAGAGAGTACCCTCAAACATAACGGTATTCAGCAAGATGTGAACCCTTGATCTGTAGTGCAGTTGTTCTAGGAGCCCGACAGGATACACATCTAGAGCTGAGTTGATCCATAGGTCGAGTTCAACTCCTGCTCAATATAATATTGTCAGGGGCTAATCCTTTCTTGTCGTTGTCTTCTCCTTTGTCATTGGAAAATAAAAGTCGGTGTTCCAGCTCCTGTTTTTACGGGGTCATACACCCCTGCAAGATTACATTAAACTGCAGGACGCCTGACCCTCTTTCTCCCAATGCTTGATTTTGCCCAGGCCCGGGCTGCTAAACCACTGCGTGGTCAGCGCATACTGTGGGGTGCCAGCCTGTTTGGTTTGGTAGGTCAAACCTGACCCCAGCCATATCTCAACTGGCACAGCATGTGGGCCACGCCCCCACATACTAGTGGGTTGAGCACATGTCCTTCCAGTCACAGCTCGAAGACCGCATAGTGCACCAGTGAGAGGACAATGGGGGAGCCTGTCACAGTCGCCACTTGACTGCAAGTTGAGCTCTAACAACACCGACACAGACCTAAAAGACAAAGCACTCACAGGAGCACAAAGGGCCTTGACTACCTTCCTCCCCAGTATGATAGAGGCATCTTGCATTGCCAATCTGTGCTCCTACGAATCACTGCAACAGGAGTCCGAATATCTGATAGAAAGGACAGACTGACAGAAAGCTCCTCTGCATTTGCCCGTGTTGAGGGAGGGACGATTGATCGGGAACAGGGATGTGCTGTTATGGGATCATGGCAAGCCTTTATTCAGGCTTCTCACAGACTCACACCACACTCCCAAGAGCAACAACCAACTTGCCATCGAGTGATGTTTCAAATTTCTATCAACCACAATTGAATCAGCAGCCTGCAGCATAACACTTGAAGTAACCTGAGCATCCATCTTTGGCTTGACTGCCTCAAGGTAGGGGGTTAAACCATCACTGGCCCCGAACCTATTTTGCCGAGCCTTTGTTTAGCCAGGCCATCGTTCGCCAAATCTCAGGCACTAACAGCAAGAGCCCGAACTTCCGTTTCCCATTGGGTTGTGGCCATTGCAATACACGATCCCAGTGCCGGAAGATCAGTGACCACAGCTCCCTTTTTTTCGCATCCATCACAGGCCTTCTCTTAGCCGCTACCAGACCGATTTCACGTCCCCTTGTGTACACCAACACAATCTGGGACACAGCTGTGGTTTCACAATGGGATAGTGTTCCAAGTTGTGCCCTGTTTATTTCAATGTCCATACTTCAGATGGACCGGCACCCTCCCTTGTATACCAGCCACAGCACAGATGTCAAAGGCAGCAATGGTTGAACATAGCATCGAGTCATCCAAGTTCTACTCTGTTTCAATGTCAACACTTCAGCCACAATGTTTAAGAACAACCAGTGCAACTGAAAATAAACTGTTAAGAAACGAGATTGCTGGGTCTTGGCTCTACCGGTACTGAAAGTTGGCAAGTTGGAAATGTTGCACTACCACCTCAGTGTGTGACAGAAAAAAAGCCAGCAGGCCTGATCATCGACTGTCCGTTTTCTTCGTGCTTTTTTTTTTTTTTTTTTTTTTTTTTTTTTTTTTTTTTTTTTTTTTTTTTTTTTTTTTTTTTTTTTTTTTAGCAGGGCCTTATGGCCCTGGCTCCATATCTATTCTGGGAGCATCAGTCCGGTTCCTCTTTTTTTTCCCTTTTTTTTTTTTTTTTGGTGCTCAAGGGGACACTCGTGGTTCGTATTGATTCCAAGAAAAAATTTTCTGGCTCCCAAGTTAGCCAGTAACTCCGTATCCAAAATTCTGACGAGTTCACAATAACGATGGTTTGGCTTCTGATCCCAACTTAACTTCCAATTCACATTGTGTGAGGATCAAACTCCCAGAAGTTGTCGATATGGCGCCCTGTTCCGCTTCTCATTAATCACGGAATTCTCTGCTTGCCTAGCCGAACCTTCAGCACCAAAACAGAAAATCAGAGTATCTCATGCAACCCCACCTCTCTCTCCATTACCGACGGTCTTCCCGAGCAAGCAGCCCGTGAAAGAGTCGAACTTGTCCGAGAGAACGATAAGAAGACGAGCCCATTCTCCCATATTCTATCTACTCCTCTCTGACACATAGGCGATCAGAAGATTTCCCTGCCTTCGAGCAAGAGCTAAGTTTGCTTGATGTGCATCGAAGACAAGGAAAAGGAGGTAGATTCTACACAGCACCAACAGTGGTCCCTCCTCTTTACTCGTCCTCCTGGCTGTGCAGACAAACTGCTCCGTTCGTAACTCTGATGTTCAGCTGTGCTGCCCTCTCCATGATGGCCTTCCTCTTCAGAGTGGAAACAGCGTGAGCGATCTCAATACAAAAGACCCTGTTGTGCATGAGAAGAGTGTCCAGCTCCTTGACGTTGTCGAAGACAAACTTCTTGAAACAGTTGGGATGAATATGCCTCGTCTTCTTGTTCAACCCATAACCAATATTTGGCATCAACGTCGTTCCCTTGAACCTACACCTAACGCGGGAATCGATACCCTTCCACTTCCTCCAGTTTGGCTTCACACATATCTTCCTTTCGGATTGAGGACGAATGAACTTCTTCGTCCTCTTCTTCACGATCTTCCGCCTCACTAAAGGAATCACCATCTTGGCGATGAATGGACGCAGCTGAGAGGAAGTACGACTGGAGTCTGGATCGGCGGTGGAGGAACGCATGGTACAGGAAACAAGTGGCGGAGGGAAAGAGACACCAATTCGGTTCCTCTTTTTTTTTTTTTTAACTGCTTCCTTGCTTTATTCAAACAAGTGAAACCGCCGCAGCGAAGCCGCGGCCCAGCGCCAGCCCCACCCCAGGCACAGCCATTATCTGGCCCGGGTGACATTGAGGGTGTTTGTTTTAGAACATGAGGGACGCGCAGCATTCGGGGGGGCATCGGCCAAGGCATCAGCACGCCGTCATAACCATTTTATCGTGGTCGCCGCTGGATTCAGACTCACGTCTGCAATTCAACAGTTTCATGTGTGCATCAACTGAGCAGCTTGCCAATGTGCAAAATGAGAAGGAATCTTCTGCAAGAATATAGGAAGATACACCGCGATGGACAGATACATTGAAAAGAAACACCGGTCTGAGTATGGACTACGGAGTTGTCAGATGCAAATGTCGCCGTGAGCGTGCGCGCATGCTAGAGAGAGAGAGAGAGAGAGAGAGAGAGAGAGAGAGAGAGA